TTTCTTTGATGATTTATATATAATTTAACAGTGTTAACGGCTATCTTGATTTATATTGTATGTACCTATATTGTTTCTAGCCGTTCCTATTGTGTAATGGAGTGTATCTGGTGGTATTTGAATCTGTTCAACCATGAAGCCTCCGTGTTCTAATGGTTATGACGCTCGCCTTGACAGCGAGAAGTCGCAGGTTCGAGTCCCGCCAGAGGAATTTTATTACACAATTTCTTTATTCATTTATTTACAGGACTACATTCGTTGAGAGCTATGCTACACGATGTATTATTATGTCCTTTATTCGAACACTTTATTTACCTTTCTTTGATGATTTATATATAATTTAACAGTGTTAACGGCTATCTTGATTTATCTTGGTTTATATTATATCTTGGTTTATATTATATGCAACTATTTGTTTCTAGCCGTATCTATTGTGTAATGTAGTGTATCTGGTGGTATTTGAATCTGTTCAACCATGAAGCCTCCGTGGTCTAATGGTTATGACGCTCGCCTTGACAGCGAGAAGTCGCAGGTTCGAGTCCCGCCAGAGGAATTTTATTACACAATTTCTTTATTCATTTATTTACAGGACTACATTCGTTGAGAGCTATTTATTCGAACACTTTATTTACCTTTCTTTGATGATTTATATATAATTTAACAGTGTTAACGGCTATCTTGATTTATATTATATTATATATATATAGGCATATATATAATTCTCAATGTTATATATATGGTATATTTATATAAAATTACATTTATTATTGTTTAGTTTTGATATTTGTGAATTTTTACTTTTTGTTGATATTATTTTTAAATGATTAAAATACATTTATCATACAGAGGTATAAAATAGTTATAAAGACTATAAAGACAAGCTACCGAGTTTTTCAACATCACAATTATGTGCACAATTATATAGCCTAGTTGGTTTGAGATGTGTATAAGAGACAGATATATATATATATATATATATAATTCTCAATTTTATATATATATACGGTATATTTATATAAAATTACATTTGTTATTGTTTATTTTTTATATTTGTGAATTTATACTTTTTGTTTTCGTACTATGTTGACATTAACCGAAAGGTCCACTGATTAATCTCAGATAAGATATAATAATACATACTCCAAGTATCACGCCATCGTGCCGGGATTCAATATTTCGACATTAATTATGTCATCATCAGGAATGAAAAATTATCCAAAGTACCAAAAGTGTTTGACCAATCAAAACATTATCTCTAGTAGGTGACATAGTTATGAATAATAAGGATCAAAGCATTCTTACCTTACTGATCAAAGCTACCTACAAAAACAAGGAAAGCTCCTTGGAAGCTTTCAGCCCATTGATAAGCAATGGGTGTAGCCTACGTATAGCAAACGCTTCTTTAAATAATAGTACTGTATAGACCAATTTTGCGAACTGTCAATAATGTTAGTATTAGAAAATATTAAACCTAATTTATTACTTACATTACAGGCTACATTATCATTTTCAAGTATACCTTGTAAACCTTAAACATATTGGAATGTTTTTTTAAGTCTAGTTATTAAGCATCTGTCTGTCTTACCAATATAATCACATTACATTAATACCTTATCGTGATGTCTTCTGACGTAAATGAACGTTTTCCAAGCATAACCTGACTAGAATTACTGATATTATTTCTAAATTGGTTAGTATACGAATCTGAGTTAGGCCTAAATAGTGCTTGGTTTTTATGTAAACTGGAACTGATCCCTGTGTGTTGTTCACCGGTCATGAATGATCGCAAGCGTTTAGCATTTACCGGAAGATCGCGTAAAATTGTCCACCAGTGAGTGCGCACTTCCTTGTTTCTGACACAGTACATTATGAATATGATAAAACCTTGAAAAGAATTTAGAATACAAAATAGTAACAACATAATTTCTGAAGCATCTCCAATGGCGAAGAAACCAACAAGCCAGGTTAACCCTAAAACCGTTGTTATGCTCACTCCGTTTTGTAACATTTGCATCCCTTTGTTCTTCCTTTTCTTTATGTGAACTTCATTTGTATTTGTTCGAATTTTGCTAAGACTATGGAAGACCATTATGAAAATCACCATGTTGAAAATTAAAGACAGTGCGACAGGAATTGCTACCCCGTAGTACATTCTTTGGTGGGTCAGAAAACAACTGCAATGATAACAAATACCAGTATGAGAATAAAAGAACTATTAAGACTCACAACATAATAAACTCAATT